AGCTCACTCAAACGCCATTAGAAAGCCCTTACAAAACTGCGGAAAACTCTATATATGCCACATCAAACGATGCCTTCGTTGAGCCGTGATAAGGGTGTGGGTGTGGGTATGATTGAACTAAACGCTCACAACTACACCCACTCCCATAAAAATCTTATAAAACGCTTTCAGAAATTTTCTTTTTTGTTACCTAATGATAGAGAAAAAAGCTCTATTACTCTATGCTATTTGATCACTATTTGTATAATATCATAATAATAAAGAGTCCGAAAAACATGTTTCACTATGATATTTCCCAGAATTCTAGCACATATCTAAAACGATATGTGCTTTTGGGCTGACTTCTTTTTGTTCTGTTTCTATCTTTTCTTTATTCTTTTTTTCTTATCTATTTTAATATGTAACCCTCTGCATAAAATGATAAATAAGGGTGTGAGTGTGGATGGGGTGTGGGATGTCTGTGGTTGTGGATGTTCAGAAAAAGTTATGCCCACAGCCACACCCAACTCTGCTCTATCTATGATTAAAATGACAAGTCTCTATCATGTTCCTAGGCAAAGTTATTCAAAAAACAGTCACGGCTCTTATATTTTGAAACGAATATTAGTTAAAAGCAATTGCTCACTTTATTATGCTTTCTCATATAGTTCTAGTTTGAAGAGTGGCATAAGATTATTGAATGAATATTCATTTTAGTTTGAATGATTCATGAAAAGAAATAGCATTCTTTCATTTAAATGAAACAGTTTTCTTTTTTTAGACAAGATCGTTTTAAGATAGACATTAAATATCAATCAAATTTCTTCCTCAATTAAGATTTTTATTTCTGTTAAATATGAGATATATGTGAATTAAGATTTAAGAAATAATACAACTAATTTGACGGCGTCGATACTAATTATTTTTAACTTATATAAGTTTAATGTTCACAAAAGATCACTACATTTAGTCGATGACAATATTTCAACATCTATCTTAAGCTTTACGATAAAGTGTCTTGATTTTGAAAATAGATCGAGACGTTGATACAGTCGAGTAATATATAGGATAATCCTGATGTTTTATTTTTCTATCAATTATCAATTATCAATATTACTACTGTATAACAAAATGGGAAACAATTCTCTGCAATGTCGAGTAATCATGAAATTTTTTAATACAAAAATAAGCTAGAAGAAAAGTAGGTATTTTATCATTTAGTTATGAATAAGTTCAAGATCGAAGTCATCACTATCACCTCTAAGAATCTTATTTAATACTCTAACAATAAACAAAGACATCGTATTTTTTTAAAACAATCTTTAAAATAAAAAAAGTTCAGCTGTAGCTTATATCAGGATATATCGTTGTTGTCGTTTTATAGCTAGAATAATCTTTTTTGGAGGACTCGGCCATTTTCCCCTATCAAAGAGAAACTGTTCCCCTTCTAACAGAAATGCTTCACCCACATAAAGTCAAAGAGAAAATCTTATTCACAAACGCACCACCTTCATTCGACCACTTCACCACAAGGGAAAAGGAAGAAAAACGAAGAGAACTACTACATCCATGTCTCCATTCATAAGCAGAAGTCGAAACCAGAAAGAGAGAAATGGATCATTTTATTTTTTTCATCTTAAGGGATGTTGCTACTAGAAATGGATTTTTTCTATTAGAAACGGTGTCATTTTTTAAGGAGAAATGCTTCATCCATATCTCCATTAATAAGCAGAAGTCGAAAACAGATAGAGAGAAATGGTTTCTTTAGCATGTTAACGGATGCTTCGAGTAGAGGTGGATTTTTCCAATTACAAATGCTAATTTTAAGGAAGAAATGCTTCACGAGATGATTGTATAAGTTGCATGGCGCTAGAAAATGGGATGCACGATGGACATATGTGGAACGCCATGTGGAGCTGAGTCATTTATGGTAGCCAACACGATGGCATGTGCATCAAGTTGGTAGTATTATGCAAAATGCCGAATATAATGTACCAAATTTTGAGAAAAGCAGTTTTCTGTTTTAATTTTTAGCATGAAGGTCAGTTTGAGATTGCTCCGAAATCATTCGTTGGATTCATAACGTTTACTATAAAATTCGATCTAGAAAACAGAATTGCATGACAATATGAAAAATTAATGATACATAAAAAGTTGGATTAAATGAAAATTCAATCTTATTGTTTGTGTTTCAATTGAGAATGATTACGAGAAAGTTGCATGTTGGCTGAGACAGAGTAGATGAACAGAGGTAATTATTCGTTATCATTCAAAGATAGATATGATAAATAATGTCCTTCTGGATTATCCAACTGAAAATTAAAAACAAAACAAAATCTTTTTTACTTGAATTTCAACATGGAACTAGTGCTAGAAAATAGTGCTAGCATTATAATTCTTCCACGACATCGATTACTTTGTGGACAAAACGATTCGGTCTAAGCATTTCGCTTTGGAATAGGAACCATTTCTCCGTGAAAGAAAAACCATTTCTCCCTATAATCAAGTATATATACAGTATCATATAATAGGTTATATGTATATATATATATTTTTTTTGTATTCTTTCTTTCCATTTCTCCTTGATATGTGTGAGTTTATGTGGGGTGAAGCATTTCCCCATAAAGTGGAACAACTTCCCCCATCGACTGGTCCAATGGTCCACTGCTGTTTTTTTTGAGAACACCTTCAATATTTTATTGCTGATATAAAATTATTCTTGCCTATTCAGTATGTTTTTAACGAGCGAATGCACTTAAATACAACTCATAATAAACATGAAAGGATTTTTAATTGAATACATACAAATCTTCATCAGACAACTGTTATCTGTCATGTTCAATGAAAATATCAAAGAGAAAATTAATTTGAAGAAGACAAAATATTATTTTCATTCAAATGAGAAAAAAAAACGTCAGGAAAGTCAGAAGAATGTGTCATTATGAAAACAATACTCATAAGAAATGTAAAGAATCAGTTACAAATAACAGTAAGATAGAAAAACAGAAATTGAAAAATCTTCATTTCAATTGGCTCGAACAAGCTGAGATTTTAATAAATTGCAAAGATTTGTTAACAGTCTTCGTTTTTCATACCTAAATATCTATAAAAAGTTGGATATTAGAGTTCATAATACAAATGAATTACAAAACAATTCATAATTTCTTTTATCTACATCCCTTATATTGATACATGCGTACGTAAACATCTATTCTTATATTGACATACACATGCATATGTTTTAGACCATTATATATGCTCCATTCTAAAAGAGAGAACAAGACATTCTAGGATCTGTTACGCTCTCGCGACAACCACATCAAGAAGAACATATTGCTAGTTGTTTCGCGGTAACCACACTGAGCCCCTACTAGATAATAATAAACTTATTATAATTATATACATACATGTCTGCAAATAAATAGACATATATATATAATACTGAATTTTTGAATTATTTTGTAATTCATTTGCCTCATTCAGCGGGATATGAATAACTTCCAAGTATCACCAAGGGTAACAATTAGAAAAAAAATCTAAAACAAACTATAAACAAGCACATAGCAAGCCTTCCAAACTGCACATAAGAGAACATTCTCAATGTGATGCAATGACAATTATACTATTATTATCGTTTATTTTCTTCCTGTTCTACCTTATCTATTTCTTTTCTTACATTTTCATTCACATAAATCATTATACACATACGTGTCGATATATATATGCAGGGTATTTCTTATTCGATATGGTTGAAAGGTCTTGATTCGTTGCTCTCTGTTATTATGTATTCATGTTTCAATTTCTATATTGATATGAAAAAGAATTTTCCATTAAGGCTGAAATGAAATTAAGCGGTTCATGATATGCGACACTTAAACGTTGAAGCGTTATTAAGCCGAAAATATACATTTCTGTAGACCTTAATGAACTAATTCTTTATTAGAAAATTTTTCTGTTTAAAGTCTGTTTCTAAGCAGATTGAATGCTGTTACTGCTTCATATAGTTATACTCACATTGAAAATTTGAGTTCAAGTAATCTTGAAAAGACAGATTTATCGATTTCATAAAAGTGTTATAAATCGTGCTACTACTTTGAATTGCAAAATATATAGTTAAAGATTTAAATATGTTAAGTAGTTTATCGTAATATTATTTTAGTTCATTCATAATTGTTGTTTATCACTATAGTTTATATTTTTCTTGCTTCCACGGACATGCTTCTAACATTCGTTGAGAATACTATATAGTGAGAGAAATGGCACAACTATTCAATATTATCTTTATGCTACACCAGCAAGACTATCATGAAAGTGATCGGAGAACAAGAACTACTGAAAGCGAAAGTTCTATCTACACTAACAGTAAGAGACGAATGAAAAGTATTTGCAACAGTCGTTATTGCACGACTTTCAGGAGAGAACGTTTTGTACGATAGATATAATTTATAAGATACACTAGCTCTCGATTGAAAAGCTCTTTGGTATCTGAGAAGCCTCTCTTGCCAGTTAAAGACAAAATTAATTTTGATTTGCTTGATAGTATCATGATATTGATAATTCTACTTAACAGCTGTTTTTGCTTATCTTAAACATATGAAAAAAATAGGTTGAACAGATTTCTATCATGAACAAAAACAGATTTCGTTTTCTATTGTGCAATATTAGTAGTCGCTTGCATGTTTCAGAAAAAAGTTGCGCATATTCAATTAAAAGGTTTTATTTAATCTTATTTCTATTTTTTGGAGAATTAGTCTTTTCTTTTCAAGTTGTGTTGTATCAAAAACTTCTATGAAGCATTGAATATTTTGTTGTCAACAACAGTTTCTGCAACTTTTGACATAATATTTGTTAAGAAAAATTAAAAATATACTTTATTTTTAATGATGTCTGCTAATGCATGGATAGTTTTTTTCATCTTATGTTGTAAACAAGAAAGCCGTATTAGTGAGAAAAAGAGGAAAAGTAAAAAGAATATTACTCCGTCGACTCATTAGAAGAAGGTGTGCATTACATATATTATCATGTCGTCATCATCAACAGCACAATTAATTGTTACTATTGCTGAATATTATACAATCTATACGGGATTTATTACTTTATTTTTTGGTATCATTGGAAATATTTCTCTTATTTTTGTATTAACTCGTCTTAGAATTTTTCGTGGCAATCCGTCTGCGTTTTATCTCATCACAGAATCAATTACTAACTCACTTCAAATGGCAATTTTATTAACATCTCGTATTGCGATGAACGGTTTTGCTACTGATCTAACACAAACAATATTATTCTGGTGTAGATTAAGAGCATCGTTCAGAGCATATTTTACTCTTAAACCACTTTCTATTATTTGCTTTTCTGCTATTGATCAATATTTATCAACAAGCTATTATCCATTTTTAAGACAAAAAAGTACAATGAATTTGACTAAAATTCTTATTACTATCGTAACTATAGTTTGGATTCTACATGGTATACCATTCTTTTTATTCTCTGGAATTCAAACGACATATGGATGCTTTATATATAATTCCAGTTTTTTAAATTATATTATATATTTCTATTATCCGATACTTTCTGGTATTTTACCGATCATTATTTCGACATTTTTTGGCGTATTAGCTTATCGAAATGTTCGTCGAATTGTAAGACGTCAAATGCCAATACGTCGACGAAAATTTGATCAACAATTAACAGCAATGATTCTTATTCGAGTTGTTTTTTTAGTCATTATGATATCACCATATGTTTTAGAGCGTATTTATGCAGTTGTATTCAAAACAAAACACGGTATACTTTATGATGCTATCTTGATACTTATTGATGATGTTGCTTATTCGTTTTTTCATATTAATTATGCAGTATGTTAAAATAATTACAGATTAATATTTATTTATTTTGATCATTTTAGGGTTCCTTTTATTTATTCTTAATATCATCAAAAAGATTTCGTCGACAAGTTAAACATGCTTTTATACAGAAATTTTGGGAAATATTTTGCACAAAAAGAATACATCAAAATCAAATAGTTCCAATAACACAGTCATGCATTAGTGAAGATGATTTTTAATCAATTTAATAATGTAAAATGTATTATTGTATGATTATTATCAATGTAACATAATTCGAGAATATATATAAGATGTGACATTTCAATCACTTGTATTGAATATTTCTCTATATCAACGTCAATGATTTAGACAATCAGAGTATATTAAAAAACTTATCAGACTGTAGTACTATGTCAAACATAGAAATCTATCATTGATTATGAATTATTCTATTTGGTCATATTTTCATTCCTTTTTTCCCGCTTTTGCATCTATTTTATCTTGAAGAAATAAATGTAATTAAGAGATTAACAAAGAATTTTTTTCATTTTGGAATGGGTGTGGTTGTGACAGCAGAATGAGAAGAGCACAGACACATCCACATTGAAAGAGTAGGCAAGGTGTCTATTATAGGGAGGCCTTATTAGAATTCTATAACAAGATTGATATTAGCTAAGTGTTTAACTCAGTCAAAAAGTTCTGTCACTCAGGACAAATTGCTCAATAGAAAGAGATTCCGTTTCTTTCTCTACAGCAAATGTTAGCAGGAGTCACCGTGATATTCAATTTTGAAATGTCTGTTCGTATTTGTAGGAGGGTATCGAGTTCAATCATCGGTTAGAACTTTTGTTAGATTTGTTTATTAAGTATTGAGAACTTACACAAGCTTAGAAGGACTGCATGGGAAATTATGTTAAATGATCACTGGTGATGAGATGTAGGTTTACCCTTGCAAAACTAGATAGAAGCAGCAACCAAAATTGTAAATAATAGAACTCGCCAGGTATTTTCCGTGACGTCTATTAAGGTTATCCATTATTGTAATGAATGTTTAAAACTATTATATAAAAAGTTATTAAACAAAAAGCCATCATCATAAACCATCGGTAGTAAGTTTCACTATTGCAGTGTCAATCATATATAAAAGTTATAGCCATTAATTACTTTAAAGAAGAAATAATGAACTTATGGCTTATTCGTTACTGTCGTCCGACTTTGCTCTTTTAGGTTTTCAGTTGCTCAGTTACTTTAAACAGACACTATATAAATATCTAAATGCAATAGGTTTAGCTAAGTTTTAACCGAGGATTCAACTTGATATTCTCCTATAAATACGAAAAGACATTTCAAGATTGAATTGAAATTGGTATCTAACGTCACGGTGACTCCTTCTAATGTTTGCTGTTGAGAGAAATGAAATGTCTTTCTACTGGATAATGTGTACTGAGTGAAAGAACTTTTTGACTCTCCTATGTGTTTTAAAGAGGATAACGAAAATTTTTTTAAATTTAATTATATCTTAATTAGTTACTATTTTATGTCAATATTTAATAGTATACAATATGAAATAAGTATTTGATGACATCATCTATTTTAGATGCATGTGCTTGTTTTTATCTTGTATCTAAATAGTAACTAGATTTTTTTTTCATTTTCTTTATCTCTTATACTATGTTTTCGCTCATTGCAATCATGTTGAGTTTCTCTTTTCTATAATTATAAAGAAAAAATTATTTCATAAACAAATTTACGAAACAAAGGGATCAGTTAATCTATTGAACAGTTTCTTCTTGAATATGATCTTTGTATAATAAAATCTATTCGATGATTGTCAGTATCGTAGATCAACATTAGATAAATTTCCTTATGATATTTTCATAAATAAACTATCCTATTTTGGATGTTCATCGTCATATTGATTAAAAAAAAAATTTTTAACAATAGAGTTTCATGTGACTGGAAATTGATCAGCATTTTGTGATCTAAACTTAAATATATTCTACTAAAGAAACATGTTATGTAGAAGGTTCAACGAAAAGTTGAGCGAATAAGACATCGATCATTTCTATGGAATTTGGGAATTCAGACATTATCATCGATATTCTGTTGTTGTCTATTTTGCCAAATAACCATAAACATTATTGTTCTTTTTGATAAATAACCTTCTTTCTCTGTTCGTGATCAAAACATACTTATTCGACTATGCAAGAGAAACTGTCATAAGCTTATCATTCATTGAGGTATGTTCAGATTTCCGAAATTAAAAAAAATTTCTCTCATACCATTCAAGCACATACATGCGCGTCAGGAGAAATTTCGTGGATATTTCGAATAACCGTCGGCAAAATTTCCGAAAATACCATGACGACAAAAAAACAAATCGCCAAGAAATTTCGGTAATTCTTGATCTTAAAGAACGTAATTACCAGATAATGTCCGTCAATACCGATCTTAATGAAAGAAATCTCTCAGTAATTACTGCAAATAAGAGCACATGCAGACGAAATTACAGAAATTTCTAAAATTTCTTATTTATATCAAATAGATATAATGGAATAGTTATAGATTTAAAGATCCATACCCTCAAAAAAGTAGAAGAATCTTTAATAATTTCCGTAATTACCTAGAAATTTTGGTAATTACAGAAATTTCTATAATTTCTAAAGTTTCTGGGTAATTACCGAAATTACCAAAACTTTTTCTAGTTTAGAGGGTAGGGGTCTTTAAATCTATACCCATTCTATTATATCTATGTCACATAAATAAAGAAATTATAGAAATTTCGGTAATTTACCAAAATTTCTCGGTAATTACCGAAATTATTAAAGATTCTTCTACTTTTTGAGGGTAGATATCTTCAAATATGTGCCTATTCTGTCATATCTATGTGATACAAATAAAGAAATAATATAAATTTCGTAGAAATTACCAAAGTTTCTGAGAAACTTCCGGTAAAAGTTTTTCTCATATGTTAAGGTAGTTTCGAATGTTGTGGAGTTTTCGTTACCGTGTATTTCTAAATTCAGTAGTTTCTCGGAATTTATTGATTAAGAACCGATTGATTTGGGAAATTTCCTGGTAATTTCGTCTGCATGTACTCGTATTTTCAGTAATCACTGATATATTCCCTTCGTTAGAGTCGATATTGACGGAAATTATCTACTAATTACGTTCTTTAAGATGAGTAATTTTCGAAATCTTCTGGAAATTTCTTTATTTTGGTACTGTTTGGTTTTGAATGACACTGCGGTAGTTACGATGGTTTCTGATATTTTCTGAAATCTGCATTTTAGATGGTTACAGTTTCCAAAATATGAACATTTAGCAGGGAATTTTCCTTTTTCGGAAATCTGTCCACTGCTGTTCCACTGGAACCGATGATGCTGATACACAATAATACTCGGAACGCTAATCGATGCAAATGAGAAAAAATGATGTTTCTTGACACAAATCAGAGTAGCTTCATAAGATTGATCCTTGAAAATAACACGAGTTCTTCATTAATTTTATCAATAATATTAACACGCTGCTTTTTTGGAAATTACTTATGCTGTATCATGATAACCACATAGGCTCTTCCGTTTTAATGCATTTCCGCTATCATCCGAACTTTTTACACCATATGATGGATTGTCACCAGTTGAGGGTGTGTGGCTGAATGTTGGGGCGGATGTTCTGTTATCTCACATCCACAACCTCAATTGCAATCTAGTGCTGTATTAAGAATCTTTGGGAACATCATTATGAAATATTTAGATAGTTTATTAGTTTCATTTTGAAAAATGAAGAAAATCGCATCTTACAGTTTTATGTTTTTCTCTTGGCTTGAATATTATTTTTATTAGCATGTGTTAATATTAATATACACAGCAAAACATTCCTCTACTATGAAATACTTGCAGATCATATTTCACATTAATATTTTTTCGACGTTAGTCCTTTTCAATCTTTCTACAGTCAATTACAATGTCGTATCTACCCTCATTGGAGAATGAATATTGTCATTGTTTATCATATCAAGCGAAGCAAAGATGAGCGTGCTTGATACGTTCATAACAATGCACAAGAATATTCTTCTGTCAATTATTCTAGTGACTAAAAATATGATGATATTAAGATTATTATAATGAAATTATTTTCTGCTAGAAGATGATTTCACGAAACAGTATCAGTATTAGTGAAATTATTCGATACAGCTCTTATTACAGTTAAAGTCTGCAAGTTTTAAGTACTGATAAATATTCTCTTAATAAACTTGCAGAATACGACTAAAAATAAAACCTGAGGTATCTTTGAATATTATTCGTGTGAATATCTTAGATGATTAGCCATACAAGTGTAAGCAAAAAATGTTCTGTTATTGAGTAGTACACATGAAATACCTGGTCATATATTGACAATAGTTGTTATTATTGTTACATTTATTGCATTTCTAATCTGTTGGTGTTTGTCTACTGATGACTCAAGATTTACGTATATGTATAATTTTATAGATATACGTATATGTGTGTTCTTTTCTTTTATATTGTGATCACTCTAATTTCGTATATAACAATATTTCTATTGTTATAGTTCTTTTTCCTATTCTTCATTTGACTGTATAAGTTATCACAACATATAGATCTCTCTTTATATATATGTGCTCATCTTTTTCTAAAAAGAAGGATTTTCCCATTGTTCGTTTCGTTTCTTTAACTTGTTAGTTATCTCTGTTCTTCAAGTCAATAAACAAGTTATTGACCTTGACCTTTATTGTACTACGCAATTGACAATACAATACATTCTGCATTTTGTATAACCTGAATACATGACATATCTGCTATTATGTTACTTTCTATTGTGAAACTATTGTTGTGTAGCAATTGAATCATTTTTAACTGTATTTGGTATATATGACTAAGACCAATGGGAAATATCATACCAACAGATGCATTTAGTTGATAACTTCATCATGGTTTTACGTTTGCATTATTAGAATTGTATCTCGAAACATACAGATAACGAAGACGTTGTGTAATTACATTCTTTCCCAGTAACTCACTGAATAGATATATAAATACTTACTGTTTCTTTTCTCATTCTATCAAGTTGAACGTGCGAAATATGACTGATATAATGAAATCTTATCTTGAAATATTACCTGTCGAGGTTATGCATCGAATTTATGATGAACTGGATGCAGAAACAATTCTCTTTTCTGTTTGTTGCGTAGGCAGACGACTCTATTCAATAAACAATAAATACAATCGCTATCGATTAAATTTTCGCTATATGTCAAGATCTGACTTCTGTATTATACCACGTCTTATTGATCCTAAAAATGTTATTTCATTGACGCTTGTGCATAGTCTACACACCTTTGGTCAAATTCGATTATTTCTTTCTTGTTTTCATCTTAATCAATTTGTTCGGCTACGTTCATTAACTCTCATTGGCCTACAAGAAGAAGATTTGCATGAGTTTCAGAAATATATCACAAAATGTTGCCTTACTGAAGTCTCTATATCATGTTTTGGTTGTCGTTCCAAAAATATTCAAAAATTCTTATCACCATTATTATCGCTTAATAATCTTCGTAAATTGGTACTTAACCTCGGATATTATGTTATCAATAAACTGCAATAGTTCGTTCCCTGCCGAGTAGAAAATCTAACGCTCGTTGGTGAATGGAACTGGAGTAAAGTCTATTTTATCCTTAATCACTCACCTCATCTGCGAACATTGATTGTAAGAGGTTTTAGTATGGATAAATCCGATGCAAGTATTATTACACAGTCTGACATGAAGCAGTTCGATCATTTAACATCGTTCTCATTATATACTGAATCTAGAATGACGATACATAATATGAAAACAATTCTTAAATGTTTTCATAGTCTAGCACATATGATATAATTTGATGGTAATTATGAAACTGATGATTCATCGTCCGAGTCGGTATACCAAACGGATTCTTCATTATTTGACGGTTATGAATGGGAATATTTCATTGAAACACAATTACCTCGATTAAGACAGCTTGAGTTTGATTTCTCTCGATTTGCATTGTCAAATGAAAATTACATGAGTACAATGCAATCATTTATGGCTCCATTTCGAACACCATTTTGGCTTGAAAATAAACATTGTATTGTTAAATATGATTACGAATACGATCAAAATGCTTCGAAACATCGTCGTGATATGAGATCAACTCCTGGAGATATAACTGATTACTCTTATCGAATTCATCTCTATTCGATACCAATCTTTCATGATAGTTCTGATTATTCTAAGCGAAAAATTCAAATCTTAAATTCTATGCTGAATATTACTAATAACAATCAACCAATCATCGTTCATTCGTCTGAAGTAACCTTAGATGGAAAAACAAGGACTCAAAGCATCCAGAACAAAGTAGATATTATTTAATCTTTTCACAACCCATTAGTTTTTTTCTAAAGAATAATAACTATTTGAAATAGGGAGATATTTTTAGACTTTCGATGGGAAAAAGTTGATAATTACAGAGTAATACAAGCCAACTATTATTAGAGTATTAGAAATTCCGAATAATGAATTTAATTGATCGTTGATAGCATATGTGAACGTTCCAGAAGATGAAATAAATAATTAGTACGTTAATATTCATCTTTTGCTCATCGGAATCGGTTTTCATGGGGTATGCGCTAACCTATGCCGTCTGTTGGTATATGCCTAAGAAAAAGCATCTTTGACTGCACAAAATACGAATCAATTACAAACAGTACATTGTATAAGAAGGATTGCATTTGTTGAAAGTTTACTATATCTAGTGCCCTAGAGGATTCTATTCATGCCTCCATCCACAAAGATACAAATTATTTTGCTATTTGAAAGTTAAAATCTGTAAAAATGTAGTGCAAAATATTACTTAAGCACCATCTACATACTGGATAAGACCAAACTCATAACTACAAAAATGAAAACTCTATTTGGGTATCAGTAAGTTCTATCAATCGGTCGCGATCTTCGGATTTGTTTTTGTGGGGTACTGGGTAACTTTTCTTTATGCCATTTAAGACTTTACAAAAACTTTTCTGACATTGAACTAGTAAAAAGGATTCAATCAGTTTTTCCTAAAACTTATATAACGCACCGTACGGAAAATTTTGGAGAGTACAAAGTTCTGAATAGTATCGAAAAACGAGCTTTGAATTCTTGAAAGGTTTCATCTTTTTTCTAAATCTGAACATTTCCATATCTAAATTGAATAAGATCATGAGCTGTTCGAATGTTACTTGTCAATGAAAACATTTAATTAATCAATCATTATCATTATTTTAAAACGTTTTGAGAAAAGCGCTAAGAATTTACAACATCCTTTTTTCTAATGTTATGAATGATTCATTGTTGACAAAAAGTAATTGTATTCTCATTTCGAGTATCTATGAAAATTTCTCGCCTGCGCTAAATTTTTAATAAATGATATTCAAAAATGTTAGTTAGCATAGAATTGTTAACTATTACATCGAAATAGAAAGCATTTTTAAAAAAATTATTTGATTTTTAGAGTAACTTAATAACAACGCACATATTTCAAAATGTGACAAAACTTACACTGATGATTGAGAAAAACTGGCCCGTCGGTGTGATTAAATACGTGTCAAAAATTGTTCATCTATCAAATCTTGAAAAAATATGTTTGAATTTTCAGTATGAGTGCTACTTCGCTACAAGATTGGAAACAGAAATGAATGTTCTATTCAAGCAAGCATGCAGTCTTCGTTCAATACAAATAATCTGCGATGCATCTGATAGAATGATGTTTATAACTCGCAAAGTTATTGGTATGAAATTACCTCGACATATTAGAGAGCTTGATATTCGAGTCAATGATTTCGAAGATGCAAAAAGAATATTGAACCGCAATAAACACCTATCAAACGTGATGTTCGAAACGGGCTATCATGGAATTGGATTAAAGAATAAAATTTCTAGTATCTTAAACATATGAAGAGAGACTTTGTCCACGAATTAGTTTGGGACTTTTTTGTTGGTTGTGAATGCTGTGATTGGCTCAAAGGAGTATGCTTATGGCTTGATAATTGCCATCAATAAACAACTTAACATATGATATAAGTACAAGCTTAATTTATCATTAAAAGAAGTATATAACGTGAAAATGTTCATGGATATACAATTCGTTTTTAATACTGTACTAACCGTATTGAACATAATTTGTCTTTATACAAAAGCAAAATCTGAACATGGAAATCTTCTTTTTATGTATGCTCACATTTTCAAATGCTTTTCTATTCTTTGTTTATCTATATGTCATAACTCATCGCTAATATACAACTTTTAATCTAAATAAATACGAGCAATTCGAGACAAGTCTTTAGTTTTGATTGAAATTCACATTTCTGATCGATTTTTTTTTGTAAATGATTTTAAATAAATTACAGTATTGAACATTTTATTCTATCGATAAATCGTATGATTAGATTTCACAGAAGCTAATCTTGATGGTGTAAGTGAAAAGAAGAACTAGACTAACATTTACATCCACCCACCCGTTAAGTTGCATAAGTACAGGTAGCCTTTTCGCGAAGAAGTATGCAAATGAAGTGGACGCTTATCTCGAGTGTTTTTTATCGTTGTTCGATAAATTATGCAAAACGAAAAAGGTAGTTCGTCTTTATTAAAAATAACGAAGGAATCATTTTGTTTACGTCAGTGATGAGAATTAGAACGCTCCCAAATAAATTCGGTAGAAGGAGTTGGACTAGTTCTATACGACTCTTACCCAAAAGTCTTAGAATTGACGCGATTTTCGAAAAATAATTTAGTGAAATTCGATGTTGAGAGTTGTGAACATTCATTTCGCATTCAGAACTGATATGTAAACCCGGTGGCTCTAACATGATAAAGAACGATTTTCGTTATACTCCTTATCAGCATATGTATGAACAACGCCACGGTAGAAAAAATATTTGTAGTACTTTCGTTGGTTACATTTGTGAAAATAAGGTAAATATTTTGCATCAATGCTTATGTGTATTTAAGCATAATATTATGTAAATAGCGAGGAATGTTTCAGACTTTCATTTTTAAGAAAGAAAGAATTATGATTAATCTACTCCTTTATGCAGCACTAATCTGTCTCATATCATTGATTGATTAATGAAATGCATATGCATAACATTATGTTTTATCGATAGCGACATCAATAGAAAGAATGAGGTATAAGACTGCTGTATATAAGAGCCGGTGATATTGTCTTAGATTCTGTTACAGTTGTAAAAAACCATGATTTCAAAATTGTTTTCATTGGTATCAGCGTTTTATATTATTTTCGTTTCCATTACATCAGCAACAAATACAACCGACAGAATCGTGCAAATCTCTAATTCAGTCTTTACATCAAATCTACGTCAAGGTTATCATGTTTTTAGAAAATACCAAGAAACGACAGCATTCGAATTGTCTTCTTCATCTGATGTTTTCGTTAAAATACCTGGTCTTACTCTGGGTACTCATCATTCACAACCGATGGTATATCAACTTCAATTCCAGGGAACGTGTCAGCAACACTCACCTGCCACTCATAGTTTTATTCGTTTTCTAGTTGATAATCGAGTACTCATTTCAAATTATCTCTTACCAAACAATGATCGACGACAAGCACTTGCTCCCGAACTTGGTATTAGTAATGTGGATGTCGACTATCGTGGTGGTTCAATGTCTTACGGTGCTCTTACTACTGCAGCAATACCTTGTCCGAAATCTGACTTGATTTTGCTCAAAGGAGGAACTCACATTATTGAAGTAGCTTCTCGTTTTGTAACCAATGGGAAACTTTATATATATGGCGGTGAACTGACGGTTCAAATGATGCAGTACCAAGTAGGTACTAATATTACCATTCCGAGTCCTATAATTCGCGAATGAGTGGACAATATTCTTTTCTGATTTACAAATTTCAATTTATTACTAATAATCTCGAACTTTCTGCTGATCTGTGAGTGCCTCTTTATTTCTAATATTTAAACAACCTTGAAGTACATAATAAAATAGAATAAGTCGCATTATGAATGTGTCCCTTCTGAAATTATTTTGAAACTGTTTAACTGATTAATAATGATTTAATCATAAAATCTATTGCAGTTGTTAGATTGACAGATATAGGAAATGAGTTCAGCCAGCACTTGTCGCGCATATTCATCATAATTTAATCCAAAATATGCTTTCAATTATTGTTCTTCCACACGAACTCGATATAGAGACATACCAAAGTGGCAGGTACGATAGTACCAATTAGACTCAGTCAATCATTCAACAGTAATCATAAACAAAGAATAATCATTAAAATACAGGTGTAAGATGGATATCGCATTTTTCCATATCATCCCGATTTGGGTGTGGGTGAGTCCACTCTAATTCAATACCCCACCCATACCCGTAGAAATAATTTAATCAGTTGCGTTCGTAATCACTAGAAAAGCTGTAGTGTATTTTGTATCAAATGAATCATCCAAAAAAAAAGTCAACAATATTTTTGACTCGTGTAAATAACACAGAAATCTATTCTCGATTTGATTGTTCGCTTTCACTTACATAGAAAAGAAACTTTACAAGTGAATGACGCACCATGCATTTTCTTTCTTTATTCTCACCAACAGACATTGTACATAAATCGAAATAAAAGCGAACTCTACTCTTATGCCACAAGACTGACTTGTGCTCCCCGAACGAAAATTTAAAAGATTATTCGTTGTTCAATATACTTTCGTCAATCAGGTAAGTACCATATCAGAAAAATACTAGTATAAAATCGAGAAGAATATATGGCAAGCTCTTGTGAACAAGAAAATGAAGAAGTTGTTAATTGAGTATAGTCAACTTCGTTGTTGAAATAATTCCTTCATCGATGGAGATTATTCGAAATATTTCGGTTTGTTTTGCTCAACAATTTGCAAAAAATGGATTGTACTCCCAGAATTCGGTCACCCTTAGAAAAATCTTTTTAACGACTTTCTATATGATCGACATCCCCTCCCTAATTTTATCGACTTCGCGAATCCCCTGCAAACTATGATTGATTTAGTACGGAGAAAAGCACATCTCTATCAATTTGACGGTCTAGAATCAAACATATGAAAAGACAAACAAATATGCAAACGTCAAAATACTTAAGTAAGATTAAGAAAAATATATCGGCACAGCAGCACATACATCTGTCAATTGTATCACTCTTGATTTGATGAGTCATCAATTGCATTTTTTTGTTTTCAACTTTGAAAAGAATGTCTGTAGGCATGATACTATGTTCTTTGGTTTAAAAAAAGGAAATCAGAGACAAGGAATGTGTCATTTTTCGAATTTTCTATTCTCATTGACTAAATAGATGTTCGACAATGAATGTCGACGTAGATTTATTAGTTTCATTG